AAGATGGCCACGCTGAAGAGCCGGCGGAACCTGCTCACCGGCACCGGCATGGTCAACGCCCTGCAACTCTTCCACCTGCTGGTGCGGGCCCGCCTCTCGCTCGAGTTTGAGCACGCTGTCCTCCGGCGGACGGTGCCCGCCTTTGAGGAGCGCTGGGCCCTCGAGGGGGCGCTGTGCCGAGTTGAGGAGGGACGCCTGGTCCTCGTACTGTGAGACCACCGGCTGCTCCAGCTGCAGAGACGCGTCAAGCGGGCCGAGGTCTTGGACTTTGGTTCATGCAGGGCGACCCCTGAGGCCTCATGGGTGTCCCCCGCTGGCAGAACTGTAAAAATGTCAATATAGTCCGAATGTTCGTTGTGTTTTTTTTTGTGGGGGTGTGTGTGTGTTGTTTTGTTTAGTTTAGAGTGTACGGGCAGGCCTTGCAGGCCATGAGCCCAGGCCTTGTCCATGAGGCCCAGATATCCGGGCGTACCTGTACATGCTCTTTACTGGCTCCAAGTGATCACCCTCCCGGGAATAAATGTCTCTTAAAAGTCAAAGTCTTTCTTTCTTTCTTTCTTTCTTTCTCTCTTTCTTTCTTGATAACTGATTTTTAAGATGATGTACATTTGGTAGAGATAATCTATATGGACTTCAGTTAAAATTTCATAACTGTTATAGTGGAAATTGTTAGTTAAGCTGAGAAGATGGGTGCTAATACTAGAATTGCAAGGTGTGAGAGGAATTGGCTAAAGGGGAGACAAATATGGGTTGTGCAGAAAATGACATTATAGGATTGTAGGATACTAATTACTGGAGTTATTTCAAAGACCACACCTGTGAAAAAACTTATTCAATAATTTTGTTAATGAATTTGGCATAAACGAAGAGAAGCGTGCCAGTGAAATTTCCTTATACAAAGTTGGGAGACACTATCAATGCAGAAGAGAATAGCTGGTATCAAGTGGAGTGCCCCAAGGGTTGATCCTGGGGCTGGTTTTTCTTTGATAACTACATTAACATTCTGAAAGATGGGATGGATTGTACCCTCAGGAGATAACACCAAGCTGAGCAGAGTAGTAGATATGCTGTAGGGTAGGGCTAGGATTCAGCGTGACATAGACAAATTGGAGGATTGGGCCAAAGGAATCTCATTAAGTTCAGCAAAGACAAGTGCAAAGTCCTGCACTTAGGATGGAAGAATCCCATGCACCAGTACAGGATGGGAGCTGCAAAAAAGGACTTGGGGTTACAGTTGACAAAAAGCTGAATATGTGCCAACAATATGCCCTTGTTGCCAAGAAGGCTGACAGCATACTGGGCTGCATTAGTAGGAGTGTTGCCTGCAGATGAAGGGAAGTAATTATTTCCTTCTATTCTGCACTAGTGAGGCCACATCTGAAGTACTATGTCCAATTTTGGGCCCCCCAATACAGAAAGGATGTGGACAAGTTGGAGAGAGTCCAGCAGACGGCAACAAATATGGTTAGGGGGCTGGGGAACATGACTTATGAGGAGAGGTTGAGGGAGCTAGGCTTATTTAGTCTTCAGAAGAGAAGATTGAGGGAGGATTTGATAGCAGCCTTTAACTACCTGAAAAGTGGCTCAAAAGAAGATGGAGCTAGACTGTTCTCAGTGATGGCAGAGGACAGAACAAGGAGCAATGGTCTCCGGTTGCGGCAAAGGAAGTTTAGGTTGCATATTAGGGCTGTGCAAAATGGCACCATTCCATTTCAACTTGTGTTTTGACATTTCAATGGAACAGCATTTCATTTTGAATTTTGTTTCAATTCAAAACCGCTGTTCCGTTTTATTTTGTCGAAACAGTTTCGCTGTTTCGATGTTTTGCCCATAGGCTATAATGGGGAAGAACAAAACAGCCTATGACTTTGTCACTTCTGGCCTGATTTGGATGAAACTTGCTGAAATGGTAGCCCCTTCTCAGGGCATGAAGCCTGCAAAGTTTCAAGGAGATAGATGCAGGAGTTTCAGGGAAATTGCACCTCAAAGTCTTGAAAGCAAAAAACTCATGTTACATGTATGTGTTAAACCACAGTGGGGACAAAACTGCAGGTGTACTAGCCCCTGCTGAGGCAACAAAGCCTGCCAAGTTTCAAGGAGACAGATGCAGGGGTTTGGGGGAAACTGAACCTCAAGATGCCAAGCAAAACTCATGACATGGGTGACACTGTGTGTGTTAAGGCGCAGCAGGGTGAAAAGTGCAGGCATGCTAGCCCCTGCCAAGGCCACAAAGCCTGCCAGCTTTCAAGGAGATAGGTGCAGGGGCTTCTGGGTTCTTGGGCCCGCTGCTGACAGGCAAAACTCATGACATGGGTGCTTGTGAGACTGTGTCTGTTTTGGGGCACAGGGGGGTGAAAACTGCAGGCCTGCTAGGCCCTGCTGCAGCCACGAAGCCTGCTGGCTCTCAAAGAGATAGGTGCAGGGGGAGTCTGCGTTCTGGGGCCCTGTACCTCTAGCTGCTGACAGGCAAAACTCATGACATGGGTGGGTGATACTGTGTGTGTGTTAAGGTGAACCCTCACTCAACTGACACCAAGGCAGAAAGCAGAGCAGTTCAAACAATGCTGCTTTTTATGTAGTTTTTCCATCCCTCCCCCAGAGCACTGGGATTGGAAGGGACCTCAGGAAAGGATGACAGTCACTGGTCAGCTACACCGTCAATAATGAGAGCGCTCCTTCCCCCCTCTTCCCCCTCCCTCTCCTTACTTTAGTTTCTGTTTCCCTGCAGGCAAGCCCAGCTGGAGCTTCGAAACTCAAAACGTTTTGAAAAATTTGAAACATTTCGACTTGCCTCGTTTCGTTTTGAGGCTGTTTTGAAGCTCTCTGTATTGTTTCGATTTTGCTGTTTCAACCTCAGAACAAGTCAAAACAGCGTTGAAACGAAACTGCCGGTGAAATTTTGCACAGCCCTAATTCCTACTTCCTTGTTCATCCTGCAGTCCCAACATCCACTTTCCCATTTAGTTTATCTTAACACCCATGAATGAACATCTACTAGTTTGAGCTGCCAAGTATTGTTCAGCTCTGTACCTTACTGCCACTGATGATCATGGAGTAGAGTAATACATTACATAGAAGCTTGTAAGTCTACAGTGTTATGCAAATTATTTACTAATGTAAAATTAACTTGTTAAATAATTTGCATAATATTTTATACATGGCGCATCATAAAACTCGGCCTTATGAAAAGACAGAGCAAGGTCAGCTTTGGAATTCCCTAACTTCTTCCTTTGTGTCCCTGGATCAAAATAGCTTAAATTTTCAGGGGAAGCTGCAAGAATTAAATTTATACCTGGGCTTTCAAGAAGGGAGATATTATTTGAGGAATGATATTTATGGATTACATTTGCCATTTTTTCCTCCTATAGTCAGTTACTGCTGTGTAATTTGAAAGTTGGTGGGTTTTTTCTTCCTTCTTCATATTTTCATTTTTTTAAATATTTGCTAAAGACACCAGAATATAAGATACATGGCTTAAACACACGCACATACATGCTTTCCTGAAAGAAGTGATGCATTGCTTCGACCCAGCTCTGCAGCATCTGTATAGATCAGGCACTTCAGTAGGACTTTTTGCTGCTTTTAGCTAAAATTGATTCGATCAGCTGTTAGATACAAGCATCAAAAGAGCCCAGCACACTGCATCTTCTGGCCTTGCGCTGGGCTTGGGGTAGGGGTGCACTGAGTTTAAAGCAAGAACGCTTTTTTTGCTGGGTTTTTTTTTTTACATCTGCAAGCAGCCTGTATTTCTGGAAATTTTTACTTACATGAAGTGCAGAAAAAGCTATTTTAATGGATGGATTTAGGTTGATTATATTCTGTTTTCATGACCACACTGCACATAATCAGTTATACTTTTTTCCCCCCCTGAATAAAAGGGAATATTGATTCTGCAGCTGGATGAGCATGGATGGACCCTTGTTATCTGCATAGAGCCATACTGACTTGTTTAGGGCTCTGTGCAAACTAAGGTGATGCCTTTGCAAATCTGTCAGAAGACCAGGGTCCTTTTCAGTTTCCTTTGTCATTTGGGTATGGTGTCTAAGGCAGCAAGAGGGGAGTGAAATGTTTTATATTTTCTAGGAATAAAAAATAGTGATTATAAAAAATGACAAAAACTGTTGAGGGAATCAAGGCAGCTATCATTGCCTGAAAACACTGGAACTTAGTATTTTTATATAAATTATATTTCAAATTTTGTAAACCTCAAAACATGCTCAAAGTTAGGGAAGCTTAATTATCTTCAGTTACACATGGGGCAACTAGGGCATAGAGTGATTAGGTGACTTGCCCAAGAAAGTCTTTGAGACAGAAATAGAAGAAACCAGATCACTAGCCTGTTAATCACAAGACCACTTTCATTCCTTCTTGTCAGAGTAAAAAGTGGTGTGATAAATGAATTACTCTATCTATAGCATTGACATTCAGAATGTACAGATTGGAAATAGTTCTATCTTTATTTTTACTATTTTTATTTCTAGGTTAAAGTGAAAATACCTTTTGGAAATAAATACTTAGATGCCATATTTTCTGTCCCAGAGAGGATATCAACACACGGTGTGATTCTTACCCATGGAGCTGGAGGAGACATGAATTTCCCTCATTTAGTTTCTTTGGTAACCTACCTTGCTTCTCATGGAGTCTTGTGCCTGCGATTTACCTGTAAAGGGCTTAACATTACCTATCGGACTAAAGCATATAAAAGAGTTGTGGTAAGAAATTATTAGATTCTGTTTTAAAATCTGGAAAACTCAGACAACCATGTTAGAAGCTACTTCAATTTAATTTTATCAAAATCCATTTACACACCACAATATACTCATTGTATATATATATATATTTTGTGTTACTGCCAGGTATTAAGGCACAGTATGCAGTTATTTTGGCTGGAGGGCCACTTAATCAGCTTTGGTGTCCTCTGGGCCACATGAGTTTTGGTGTCCTGTCAAGGGCCATGTCTCTCTCTCTCTCCCCAGAGCTGTAGCATACCCCAGTCCTCTCTTTTTCCCCCTCCCCATATGTAGCATGCCCTGATCCTCCCTCTCTCTCTCTCCCCCTTCACTCCCCCTCCGCAGAGTTGTAGCATGCCCCAATCTTTTCCCTCTTCCTCTCCCTCCCCAGAACTGTAGCATATCCTGATCCTCCATCTTTCTCCCTCTCTCCCCACTCCCAACCACTGCCCAGAGCTGTAGCAGATCTCAGTCCCCACCCAGAACCTGCCAGCTCCATCTGCAGCTTATGCCACTACCAGCCCAATGCTGTGGAAGCAGTCCTGGCTAGGTGCCAGCATCAACTGTAGCTGCCCAGCAGGTTCCAGATGGGGATTGAGGCATCTGCCCAGGTCCACAGCTGTTGCTGCCTTATTAGCACTGGACAAAAGCAGTCCTACCCACGTGCCGCATGCAGCAGAAGCTGTCCCAGGTGCCTACTCAGCCCCACGTGGCAGCTGGAGCCGCCAGCCACCTGTGGGCCAGATCCCATAAGGTGGTGGCTGCCCACCCATGGGCTGGATATGATCACTTGGCCGGCCAAATCCGGCCCACAGACTGTATTTTGACCGCCCCTTCATTAAGGTATTCTTGTGTTATCAGTTTATGTTAAAATCAACATCCTTCAATAGTAACTTAAGGACTAGATTGAGTCTTAAGGAAGACACGTTTAAAGGGCTGCAATTCTTCCCTTGCTCTGGGATATATAGGAGGGAGTGCAGCTCTTGAAAATGCACAGCTTATCTCCCATTCCTGCCCCCTGGTCTAGACATCCACTCTAACCAGTAGATGGGAGATGGCCATTTTCTGCATCAGAGTCCATATTCTTCATCAGATCTTCAAATTCAGGCTTCAGGTATGCCTAGAAAGGGAGATTTACTTAGCCGAGTAAAAAGCACAATCCAGCCACCAGATTTTACACACTGATATCACAATTAATTATATATCTAATGATATATGCACCATTTTACAGAAGTTAGATCTTGCCAATGTTAATGTAAGCTTGTTCTATGGAACTTAGCGTTTAAGTACTTTATAAGAACACAATATCTATCTTACCCAATTTTCTTGTAAGGGAAATAAAAATATCAATAATGCATTCAAAGTTAATTTAAAGAATGCTGCTAGAGTAGTTTTCAGTGCTTTAAGGCATTTCAATCAGACTCTCCATATACAACACTTTAAGTATCTTAAAATGCTGTTTTTTAAACAAATACTAAACGTTGTCTTATTTCTTTAGGAATATTTAAAGTCATGTGGAGAATATACACTTTCTGGTGTCTTCCTTGGAGGTAAAAAGCCACAGCAATGGCTTAAAGATATAAATTGTATAATTATTCTGTTCCTGAGGGCTAGGAAGAATTTAGAAGTCATCTGGATTGATGCAAAAGGCCATGAATCTGCAGACCCTAAGAATTTTGTAATTGTGTTTTGATCCATAGTTTGATACAACACATAATAGAGGGATGGATATGAAAGGGGGAAGTGAAATCAGATATACAGTTATGATTTTCATATGTTCTGATTAGTACTTCATTGGTTTTAATGGTTTCTTTAGTAATAGTGTAATGTTACATGGGCACAGTTAAGTTGTCTAAAACAGTACTTAAGTATCATAGTAACCTTTACCGGCATTTTGCAAAATGTGCATAATGTTAGTATATTACATATTTTGCAATTAATTAGCTAATGTAGTGGACAATTTATTTCCAGTGTGAACATAAAAGTGGTATGATTGTTTTTCTTTATTTTTAAATGGGAGGAAGGTAGGTCCATGGGTTCACGAGCTGCTGCCTCTGTTGTACGTCAGATTAGCCAGGATGACAGCAATGATGAATTCATTCAAGGTTTAATATGTTTGTCGTATCCACTGCATCGACCAAAGCTTCAGTCCAAACTTCGGGATGAAGATTTATTTTTTATCAGATGCCCTGTGCTGTTTGTCTCGGGATCAGAAGATGAGATGTGTGAAAGAGTGAGTTCCAGTACATATTCCATAAGGGGGCAGAAAAGGGGAGAGGGAGATATTCTTCATCTAAACTTGTGACTGTCGTTAGTAAGTTTTCTTCATGCACTGACGTACCAGAGAAGGCTCTGGGCAGAAAATTGAAGTCAGTCAGTCATATTTGCTTTTCCCTAGGGCAATCAGACTTAGGTAATTAGGGCATGCCAATTTTTGTACTCTCTAGCAAGCTAGGGTGTAATATATCTAGCAAGTATCCACATCCAGCTGCCTTTTCTTCCTTTTTGTAGCAGAGTTGACTGGGGGAAAGGCACAGGTCCAGAATGAGGCTTGAATGTTTGCTTCAGGATATATAGCAAGGCAGCTTAACCATTCTGCCACCATGCCTGGGACAATCCAGGAAATTGGACATTGCTAGGATATTGGATGTTGCTAGCTCATCCTTGAGTCTTTTATAAAAGTGCTTTTAAACACATTTTTGGCCTTTTAGGAGTGGGCCAGATTGCATGAGAAAACTATTATACATGGGGGAAAAAGACCCAAGAGGATATATCTGATTGTTCCAAAACTCCCTTGAAGTTTTAGATTATGCAAAGTGAACAATATGCTATGATGGATATATACAGGATGTTTTTCAGAACAAATAAAACTATTTCCACCAAAGTACCTTTGCAAAGTAGTAACTTTACGGTATTCCGATGAGGAAAAATTGCGCATCCCAAACTCAGCAAAATATCCAAGTGTTAATACTGTTACAAGTACAGTTTATCTGCTAAGTGTCTGGAAGTTATCTTCTTTCCATTTTCCCACAGAGTAGATGCAAGCAAATCAGATTTGGGGTATATGTTGTTGGGTACTCTCCTTACAACATTTGCTAGGACTTAGAACTGTGTGCATATAACAGTCCAGCTCAGGAAATTATTTCTGAGAGATCTTAAAATTTTAAATAGAGGTTACAGCTAATATAATGGCTATTATATTAGCAAGCAACTGCTTGGAGTTTGCTCTTAACTTGAGAAATCCATCCATCCTTTATTTGAGAAATCTGTTTATTGAGCAAGTCCAACAGAGACTTAGAGAAGGAGCTAATCTCAAAAGAAATATTCTTATATTTCACGTTCCTCCAGTTTGTTGCTGGTGGTTTGATTTATTGACAGTAAGAATAAATTCTTTTTCGTTAAGTTTTTGAGAGGGTGTTTCAGAGAGCTGTCGTCTTAATCTCAACTATACTTCACTTCAGGAGAATAACTAAAATTGAGTTTATTACTCTGAGGAGGTTTCACTGTTGAATATAGTATTTTCTTGTTTGTTAATCCTATTTAATATATGAAGAATTTCATTTGATTTTTGAACTGCCCGTTATATGCAGGAGAGACAAAAGGATAACTAATCTGATCCAATTTCAAGCTTATAGTTGTATCTTTTTTCCTCTTGACTTTTGTAGAAATTGTTGGAAGGTGTGGCAAGCAAAATAAAAGTACCTAAAAAAATTCATTGGGTTGACAAAGCAAACCATGGCATGTCTGTGAAAGGATGAACAGCAGATGATGTCATGATGGAAATAAACACGGAGATTTTTTCTTGGATTCAAGAAATCATTGAGCAGGAATGAAAATAATTTCCAGCAATTAAATAACATCTGTTATATTAGCCTTCCCTAAAATATAATTGATTAGTAAAGGCTTGTTTAGCTGGCCAACACAGACAAATACAAATGATTACTTAATGAGTCCTGTTTGATTCAGTAACTGTCATGCTCAGTATTTTTTTTAAGAATGGAAAAAAAAAAAAAAAATCAGTGGAAGGTTACCAAGGAGGACGTTTTTGAAAGGTCTCACATGCAAAATGCTCAGTAATAAAACTTTTTTTCTGTGTTTCTATTTGCTGATCTGTTTGACCAAGCTAATAAACTTTTTTGTATTGCATAGCTTAAGTTTGCTGAAAAATTAACTGAATTTCTGTTGGAACCAAAGCTTTAATTTAATTAATTCCTGGGTGTATTTCAGATAGTAGTTAATTTGAGTATTAAATCTCATTTCTTATGCATTTATAACTTAGAGAAAAATAATTTCCAGTTTGGCTGATCTTACAGGTCTGTTTCTCCCTTGACTTCTGCCTCATGCAGGTATTTACACCTGTGCAAAACTGATATAAAATACTACCATTTTGGTTTTATAGTATTTTGCACCATTTTAGTATAAACCTACTAACACAGTATGGAATCTAGTAGAGAATTGGGTGACATGTTTAGTTTCCATGTGAAAGTGATTTTACAAAAGTAATGATGTTAAATTTGATTAACCACCTACTTTGGCCAGGAAAAAACATTTTTTTCCACTAAAAATAATGCTTGTTTCTGCTAAAATAGCTCAAACCACTGAATTAAGATTCAGACCTTGCTTCTAATTAATTATAAGACCTCTTTAAAATTTGGGGGGCAGAGATTAGAAATCATAAATCCTTTGGATGTTAAAATTTGCTCTAGAGTGTGTATTTAGCACTGATTTTTTTCAGAGGAATACATGATACTGGTTTTATGGATTTCTAGAGCTGGTACTATACATAATTTTTTGCAGTGCATAGTGCATTTAAAAGAAATAAAAAGAAGAGTAGTTTTAAATGCACTGCAGTT